GCGGGAGCGCGATTTTTGAAGATCGATTCATCAAAAAAGTTTCAAGACGCTCCGCACGGGAGCGCGATTTTCGTCAAAAGAGAACGATCTTGAGCGAATCAGTTTGGTATAGAATTGGTATAGAAATCGTTCCCTAAACGATCAAAACTCGAACAGCGACTCCGACGAATCCTATAGCAATCCTATACCAAAACATCCCGGCAAGAACCTCCCTCTTGATAAGATAAATCGACGAAATTTCGATGACGTCTCGAGCGGGAGCGCGATTTTTGAAGCTAAATCATCAAAATTTTCAGGACGCTCCGCGCGGGAGCGCAATTCTGATCGATTTGAACGAGGATAAAATCGATTTAAAATCAAAGAAATTTTGAGGACGTCTCGAGCGCGAGCGCGATTTTTGAAGATAGCTTCAAGATAAAAAATGATCGTAGGCACAGAAAAAAGCTGATTGTTCGACGATTTTGCACAGTTTTTGATTTTTTATAAAGCTGTATATAAACTCAAAAATCGTCGTTTTTTGAGGATGTCCCGAGATTCTCGAGCGAGAGCGCGATTTTTGATGATTTAAGTGACAGTTGGGGGGTCGTCCAATTCGTTTCGACCCCCCCTAGCAAGACTACTTTAAAGGCAATCTGGCCTCCCACGCGCAACATCGTAACATTCGCCGTTTTGAGGACGTCTCGAGCGAGAGCGCGACTTTTAAGTTAACATCAGCGCGTCCAAAATGTTTGCGCGACGGAAAAGCACGCTGCGGGTGCCGGGTGACGCACTTAATAATTAGAACCCTACAATACATGTAGGGAATAGTATTAGTCATAGTACTAGGAATAGTAAGAGTAATTGTACTGGTAATAGTACTAGTACTCGTAATCGTAATAGTAATAGTAATAGCAATAGAAACAGCAATAGTAACAGTAACAATAACAATTACAGTAATAGCAATGGTAATAGCAGGGGGGTCGACAGAACAAGAAGAGGGGGGGTTCTTGTTCGGCCTAAACAAGCAGGGGGCCCTCCCTTCTTCTTCTCCCCCCCCACCGGGGGGGTTCTTGTTTGCGCCAAACAAGAACCCCCCCCATCCCTTCCCTATCGGCCCGGTCTCGCGGACTTACAACGTGCTCTTGATCCCAATGCTCATCCTAATGCTCAGATCCTGATAAAGTTTTGTTCCCCCACCCACATAGGCTTGCATAGACCAAAAGCCTTCACAGCAGCGCGCAGCGGAAGATCTACCGCATCCCCCGCCAAGTTCTTCACAGAGTTGCTCTCCTTAGGGTCAACAATCAATAACTCTGCAAACTCAAACGGCAACCACCAACACATATCCCATCCACGATCTGCACTTGCGGGTTGACCTCGAGAATGGTAGCATTGCACTGGGCACGCTATTTCCTGTAATGGGGAAGGACTGTACCGGTGGACTCACAGGTTCCATGGGGTAAGCAGCGCCCGGAACTGGCATGGCACTGGCTCCAGGATATGCTGCTTGCTTATTGTATACCCCCCTCACAGTCGTCCAAGCTTTCGGCATGCTCACCCTGAGCAGATTCTTTTCTTTTCGGGATGCAAGAGCTGTGATTGAAATGAAGCTGGAATAATGCTTGCGTAGTCATCGTAGTCTCCAGCCTGCGATCTGCAGAGCGCACGTAGTCTTCCGTGGGCTTGTTAGGCGTCGGCATGTGTAGGTTGTCTTGTTTGCGTAGTCTGCATAGTTTGTAGCAGGCAGGTGATGCGCAGAAAGTTTTGCAGCCAGATTTGCCGTGCAGTCAGCGTGATTAGTTGACTGGTATGAGTGAGACGTCGTAGTCCGCCTGCAGCGTTATTTTTTCACAGGAACATGTACTGCTTTCTGAGATGCAGCTTGTAGTCGCGTAGAGCTACCCAAAATCAAGCCATCCCTTAGAGGCGGTGGATGAGATCAAGAATGAGGAGCAAAAATGGAGTCGACAGGACTTCGAACCTTTCTGACAACTTGTCACCAGCCTTGTTCATCATGGCTCCACGCAGCGGATGATCCTATTTGCGCAGGAGATGGTCAAAAGGATCGTCGGCTACATTTTCAAAGCCTGCAAGGTGTTTTTGTTGCATGTTGGATGCAGTTGTTGGCTTCAATTTTTCCTGGAACTTTGCAAAAACAGGCACCCGAGCTGCTTCACCAGCCGTGGCAGGAGGCGACTCTGCTGCAGTGCATGTTGTAGCATGTTCTGTTCTGGTGCAGCTGTGGCCATCAACGCTTCGAGTGTGACGGACGCACACGTAAAGACCATGGATTTCGTAGATGGCCAAATCAAACGGTTACGAAGGCTGTTTCATGGGTTTGGACCTGCTGGTCAACTGTCCGTTTTTTGAAGCTGAGTTGGCAGGGCCTTTTCCTACCGTTCCCAGCAACCTTGAAAGAAAGAACCAGTAAGACAGATGGAACAAGCCCGTCATGAAATCCCCAGCATGCTTTTTGCTAGAGTGAAAAGAGCAAGCGCATCAGTCCTCTCGACCTGGCCTTTTGATGCTCTCTGAGAGGTAGCCCGGACTGTGGTCCAGTCTGGGATGGCGAGCTACCATGCAGCTTGTGGAGAACGAACTTGGTTTTGGCAGGTGCACTTCACTGTGTAGCATCTATGTGTATGCTTCACTGTTTTGCTCTCTGCAGCTTGGCTTGGGCAATGCCTTCACCTCTGCTGTGTGGGAACTCCTGCAAGTGCACGGAGCTGAGTTTGGCTGCAGGCCTCGTGAGCTTGTTTTTCCTATAAACGGCTCAGTCTGCATTGAAGCCACCCAAACGATGTTTTTGCTGGAGCTACTGAAAGACACCCAGGAGGAGCAGGCCAGCAGCGCACTACCAAGATGTTCAGGAGTAGCTCACTGAAGCTGTGACAAGCAAGCCGCACACCTTCAAAGTCACCGGACCCTCCAGGACTTCGTGGTTAAGGAGTTTGAACGGCTCTTGGACCAGACGCTCTTGACGAAGGCACCAGGCAGTGCTTCAGAACGATCCATCCTTGACACACCCGCATCCGCAGGGGGTCTGGGATGCTACTGCCTTGACTTTCGGCGACGAAACCGTACGAGCAAAGGTGGGAGTTCTAAGCGAAGGCAAAGGTGGAGCCACGTGGAGCCACTGCAGTGCCCCTGCTGTGAGGTTTACAAGGCCGTTTACAACACGCACCAGACTGCCCTTGATGAGTTGAATCCTCAAACTTGTGGATGCGATGGGTGCAACAAGCAGCCCTCCTCCAAGGCTTCTGGATGACTCTAGACCTATAGATGATGCCTGGGCCTGAGGGTCTTCGAGAGGAAGGACTGCAAGCTTAAGAGCTTTGCAAAGCATAGCCGTTCTCGCTTGTGTACGCTGAGGCCCGGAAGGTGGAAAAATTCACCAGAAGGTGGCTAGAAGCAAGCATGCAGCGAGCATGGAGCTCCATAGAAAATGTGGAGACGGTGCTTACACCTGGGATGGGGTCTCAGCAAAATCAGCTCAGCGAAGCTTGTGGTGCGAGCGTCTCAACTCCCAGGCAGGTCACCCGGCTTTTCCAGAATTTGATGGCACCTTTCGGGGAGGGGCACGAATACACCTGGTGCGCCACCTCGTGCTTACACGATGATCCGGACACCATCATGCCATTCAGGCTGTTTCGAGTATTCTGCAAAGGGATGCTGTTCAACAGCTGTTCCCTGCAAATCCGTGCACCTCGCCGGTCGCGGTGCATGGCACCGCCCACCCTCCAAATACTTACTTGATGACACTCTAGAATTCGCTGTGCCATAGCTCAGACTTTGTTTCAGGGTTTTGGGTTCAGGGTTGTAACTCTAATCTAAGCATAATATACAGTTTCTTATAGATTATATTTACATTACAACAACGGGACTGAGGAAACATTATAACAGCGGGATGAAGGACAGCTCAAGCGGATGTTGGTGAAGTCGTGTCTACGAGAGTATGACTTGGCTCATATTCTCTTCATTTCTCTTGGTTTCTTCCGACATTTTACTCCAGATATTTGGAACGTCTGTCTGCAGTTGTTTTATTCTTGCTCCTCTGGTTCTGAGTAAAGACTCCAAAAGGCTCGCGTGTGTGTTGATGAGATTTTCTGCTAAGTAGGCCTCGTATCTTTCGGGAAGGATTCTCAAACCACACAACATTGACAATTAGCGGCACCTTTTTGTGTTTTTTTCTTGCATTTTTCTGTTTATCTCCTCTTTTTTCTTTTCACGGTATCGTCGTTGTGATTCACGGCGCGAATTGCATGTTAGGAAGCCACCAAATGTAGTGTGACAAATTTACAGCTTTTCATTCTTGGAATTCGTCGCCCATTAGTTCTAAATACAATGGTGATATCTCTTTAGGTGTTTTGTAAAGACATGCAATTCCACAAGAAAAATGTTATCATTGTTCATTGACAGGCCTCTCTAAGCATTCAGAACGAGTCAAGGTAGATTTTACATAGCAAGAATAGTGTCTACCAATGCAGTATGATCGTTTGAAACAACAGATGTCTTTGACTTGCTTGCAACGATAACACTTGCCAGTAATGCTAGTATCTGGGTCCAAAATCGACTGTCATCTTATCTACTCTTACTGGCTTTATCATCTACACTTTTAAAGAAAGGGTTGAAACATTGAACAACCATTCTTTTCATAATGTGAGATTATGATAAGGCACAGGTTCCTCAAGCTTTAACGAAATGGATTCTGAATTCAAATCTTTCCACACTCGTATGGTGTGCTTCTGAATCTGTAGAATATTTTCGGGCTCTTGCTTCTGTTTCATGGGGGTGGTGTCTGATCCAGACTGTGAGATTGCCTAAGTGGCCTTTCATGATAATCTAGATTTTCTTCAATCCATACCGTTAATTCTCGGGAATCTTTTCGATTCTTCTACCTGCTTCTCCAATTTCTCAATTCAGTCTTCTGCTTCTCCTGGTTTTATTTTTCTCTCTGTTTGTCCCCATCCCGTGTCGGCTATTGATACATCTCCTGATTGAATAGCCGTCTCATTTTGTGAAATATGCTGTGTCCATCTTGGGTAACACTGCGACCAATGCGGAAGCTACGACAATCCTCAATAACGTTAATCACCACTTTATTATCTTCAGTGGCTGTTGTCTTTGTCTCTTCGTGTAGCGTGTTATGCTTACATCTACAAGGCAGACAATTTAATCCATCTTTGCTGAATTTGATACTCCTATCGTTTTTATCGTCGTCTTCTTTATTGGACACTTGTACTTTAGTAGATTTAATTTTTTCTTGAGTTTTAACGCGGTCAAGCTGCAACGCCTTTTCAGCTTAGTATCATGTATTATATTTTTTCAATTTCTTCAATTTCTTCAATCTCATCTATAGCTTCTACATACTTTTCCATTCTATTGAAAGATGTTTTGTCTTGTTAAGTAGTGAGCGCGGAAGTCCCCATAGCAGAACCAATTGACATACCCAAATGCAATTATAAAAACAGTAAATACATAATGATGCCAAGGGTACCAGCCCGAATGTTATGCGTGGCCTCTTCAACTGGTGGTAAAGCAGTATTGATTCAGAATCTAAAAGATTCCGCAGAGGATGTTTTGACAGAACATACATCTTTTCGCCCTGTGTTCAAGACGTAAAGAAGCGATGTAATAAAGGTAGACGCGGAAAGATAACAGTTGCATGAGGAATACGATCCGGTGGCACTAAAGAGGATCATAGACCCTCAACACGAATCAATTGGCTTTCAGAAGAACAGGGAAAAAGATATGTGCAACATTCTGTTAGTAGTGGATGATTTCCAGATACTCATTGTTCACGATATTTTATCCACACAGAAGTATAATGTATTGGCTCCAATAATTAGACTCAACGCATCCGCTTTGTTCGTTTTCAGACTCAAGAACGTGAACGAAGTCAATGTATTTTTGGAATGGTGGACTCAAGCGACCGCTGCGAAATGTATCATAAAGCCGTGAACTCGTTCTTCTACATAAACACCCAAGCTAAGGATTGATTACATGTTCTTCATGAATTTTGAACAATGCTTTGAACATGTTTTGAACTAGGCGATAATGAATCAGAAGTGTGATAAGTATTCAAACAAAGCCCGGATTACAAAAAGTATAGGTGCGTGAAGCCAAAGCACGGACACATTCTTTTCCTTTCAATGCTTCTACTTTCTTCTCTTCGCAGTAAATCTTTCATCATCTTAAAGAATATGTCAGCTTCTGAAATTTCTTTCTTTTTTCTGTTCAGTTAACTCCATACATGCAGCATGCCCTGTGTGAATTCGGGCACGCACAACTATTTCTATTCTTTTGCTCGCTGTCATTTGTACTCTTGTCCTTCTTTTTCAACTTTGTTATCTCACCTTTCAAGCTCGTTATTTCCTTTCACAAACTTTTGGAACTGCGCGATACAAAATGTCAGATGATTTGGCATGGTCAACTTTCTAATACGACTCATAGTCTTCTGATTTAAATGCTATGCTATACCATATTCTTCTGGTATTTTGGTAAGAATCCTATTCTCTTCTTCGTTTTGCCTACACCACTAAATGATTCAGCCGTACCATATTTAACTTCAGCTAAACAATTTTTGGGATCTAACTCTTTGATACTTTCTTTCAAATTATTACCTGATACATTGCCGAAGCTTGCTGTATACGAAATGTCACCAGCTACATATAAATTGGCATAACCATCACATACTGTCTCACCCACGCCAAATTTATTTGAACAAATCAGACACTGAATAAATGTTGGCCTTCGACGTCTGGAATGTCGTATTTGATTCTTTCACTTGTTGAAGCCGCACGGTGTGTTATTTCCAAATTACCAATATACAAACTCTACCATCTGTTAATCAAGTTCTGGCGTTGATACTTCTGCTCCTACTATTCAACTTGTTTCCCCCAATCCATCGCTGTTTCGAAGATACATTTTAGATTGTGTGTGTAATACTTGTGTAATTTCTCCTGCATTCTGTAATTTTCATCTACCCCTCGCTATTACATCTGCTTCATCTACAATGTTGCCCATAATAACAAAAGTCAAATTATTTGTAACCGCTCCATGTATTGCAATTCCGTTAGTGTCATTTAATTGTAGTGATATTGTTCCCGTTGTACGATCTAACGTTCTACTACTTTGTAATGCAAAGTTAATTTCGTTTGTTGATATTACATTGAATGAACTTTTAACGTCTGCTTTTTGAAAAATCTCACCCGAATTATTAACATAGACATCAACGTTAAAGGTGGAAGTGCTTTGAATGAAGATGCGCCACCAAAATTGCAGTTACCGCCAGATACATTTAGTGTATTTGCACCTGCAACGCTTCCTATCCCTAGACTTTGACAATTAACCCTGCTATGAGTATTAAGAATGTGTCAGTAGAAGTATTAACAGCATGAATGTTCAAACTCCTAGATTGTTTCCTGTACATATCCTTGAGCATTTTTAACTGTAAATACATCACCTGCATCAGTTTTTTTTTTTTTTTTTTAATCTTAAGCCATTAGAATTATTAATGCTTGTTGTATCCTTTGCGAATTAAAAACTGTGCTCCAATTAGTGTTATATGAAAGCTAGAAGTTCCACCCGCTTTTGAAAATATGATGCGTTCGGTGTTGCTCCTATTCCAACCCACACTGTTGATGCTGTCCCTATTCTTACTTGTCCTTGTCCTAAACTTTGTATTTCCATACGTGTATCTAAGTTTTCATTTCTAGCATTACGACATGTTAGTGTTCTATACCTGATCTCCCATATACCTTGAACATCTCTAACGCGAAGTGCATCTGAACCTTCTCTAGATGGTTGGTAAAGTGGGTGGTGCCATACACCGAAACCAGCGAGGTCACATCTAACTCATCGTGACTTTTGTGATCTGTGTTGGCTGCATCTGCAAGTGCTATGCACCTTGGGACGTGGCATTACATGCCAGTATCCCGATAACGCTCATCGAGACCATCGGCAGACCTCCACGCAACTGGAAGTTCTTGAAGATGCCCTGCTCCCAGAAACCCCTGCTACCGTCTCAGTTGGCATGGGTATCACTTGACAAGACCCAGGGCTGTCCAGGATATGTTTCGCGAATGGAAGGAGGCTGCGTGGTAAGCATGTCCTTTTTAGTCTGTTCTTCTGACTGCTTGGTGCAGCTCTACCTTGACAGTTGTCCAGGGGGCAGCTACCGCACGGCCAGCCAAGCGCAGAAAAGCCCCCGCTCCCATCACGGATGAGACGACCCCAGAGGAGGCCCGCGGTCTTAGAACCTCGATGGGTTGAGCTCATCCAAGCTGCTTCAGGATGGCGCCAGAATAGAAGCTGAGGAGGCGCTTCGTGGTCCTTCGGGCGTCTTGCCAACAGGAAGGCGTGTCAGAAGGAGGGGGAACTGGGTGGAAATTGACAGGTCACCCCGAACGGGACAAATGGGTCTGCCGCTCACGAGGCAGGAAAGGAAAAAGTAGAAGTAGCGGGAAGAGGATGCCGAGAAAGCCTCCTTCATGCTAGGAGGACATGGAGGACCAGCTCTCCGAGCCCAAGGCGTTCAACATCTACGGCTTTGTTCTTTTTCTTCATTCGGTCTTGTTGAGCTGCCTCAGATGCCTTGGCTGGCACAGGACATAGAGCCAAAAACAGAGGAAGATGCAGGCCACATTTTTGAACTCTGCCGTTGTGCATCATGCGCATAGCACGAGGTACCAGGCAGTGTGCGGAGGTTGCATAGGCTATAGGTTCAGCCAATGGTTTGATTTGCTAATCTTTGTTGGGAGCAACTGAGTCCTGCTGTTTGTCCAATCTGCTTGGCCCTGAGATGAAGCAGTGATGGGCCACCCTGCTCGGAACTCAGAGACTGCTTCAAGTGCATAACCTTGCATGGTCCAGGGAGACATGCCTGAACCAAGGAGTGCACTTCGGCAGAAGAATGCACGGGCGGCCCCCACCTGTCACTGGCAAATGTCTCATTTTTGTGCGCATTGCGCTGACGGTTGAGAAGCCCAAGCGCGTCTGTGTGGTCAAGACTCAGATGAGGTCAGGCATCTTGTAGAGGAGGATGACCCGGGGGATGTTTACTGTGAGGCCAGCTCTTGTGAAGTGTTATGATAGAGCTTTGCAAGCAGGCTCTGAATTGTGCCCAGCTGCTAAATGTTGATGTCAGGCATGCTGGGCTGGGTATGTGGAAGAGAATCCGGACCTCATGGGTGTATGGGAGGCACGGGCAATCAATGCGTTTCCTCTGCAACTCATCCGAAAGCTGCATATGCAACGTTTGCATTTCTCTATGATGCAGAATGGTGATCGCGCCGGTGACATCTATTCCGCTTCTGAGACTTGGAATCTTTAGCCGTCTTCTTGCCGGATGTGGTGCTTGCCTTGGCGATGCATGCAAGTTTTGTGATGCACATAAACTGCAAAGTTGCGTGATGATGCAAGGGAGCTTTGATGAGAATCCATGATGTGATCTGTAGGTTAGAAAGCATGCTATGACAAGGAATCGTGAAGCTGGGGCTCTCCATCTCCTGGCGGGAGAAGGTTGGGCCAGACTTCGCCTCATGTGTGCCGTGTGCACTTGAAGGCAGGAGGTGCGCAAGAGCAAGTTAGACTTGCGAAGCGTACCTGCTCTGGGCCAGCGATTGAAAAAAGTGCCACAGAGTGCTGCTGCTCTTGGCAAAGGCATGCAGACACCGCTGCGTCCGCTACAGGAAGCTTGTTACGTTTGGCGCAAAAATGCGGCTCTAGGCGCCAAAGTGCCCACAAACCCGGGGTTGCTTCGGGAACGCGCAACATGCACAGCTGCTTTCCAGCTAGCCTAAACTTTCAGTTTGTCGTCAGGCATGCATAGGTAGGAATACTAGTGACAGTGACCAAAACCCTGCCCTCAAGTGATTACAGCAACTACCGTCGGTAAAAGATGGTCTTTTATGCGGAACTCCTCCACATGACATTTGCATGAAACGATGTGTGCTCACGCGGGGTGCTCAGTTGCGATTGTCGAGCGTTCTTGGTGACCACGTTGCGCTGCAGCCGGTGGCCTGAACGCCCTGGAGTTGTGCAGGAGAGCGGATGTGTCCGGACTTTGATGCCAGTGCTTTGGCAGCATTCGCTTGCAGGAACCACATTGAAACACAATCAGGCTAGGGTTTCATGTCAAGTTTGAATGCTTACACTTCTGGAGGCTCCCCTTTCGTGGCTGCCCGTGAGGCTCGAACATAATTAGTTTGCAGAAGCAGATGGCACATGGACGCTGGTTGTCTCAGTCTTTTCAGGCAGTGAGCCTCCAAAAACCTGTTGTATGGCGCTGCACCTACTTGGCTTGACCGTGTCACTATGTCCTGGTCGCCGCACTGCCAGCACCAAGAATGCCGCAAGGCCGTTGCGCCGCCGGCGCTAAAGGATTACGGCTACGAAGATCTCAAGGCCGCTGGGTTGCCTTGGCATGCCTTGGCTTGCTGTTCCCTACATTCCTGACTCTGCAAGCAATGCTCAATCAACTCCTATCATATCCAATTTCGCGGACTGTTTGAGGTCATCGGTCGGGGCCAGTATGGCAAGGCAGCGTCCGGTATGGCTCCATGACGAAGCTGTGCACGATAACTTCTCAAAAGCGGCCAGCTTTGAAGCGAAGAGAAACAGACTGGAGACCCTAATAGCCACGTCGCTGGAGTAAAGGGTCATATGGCATATGTATGCGATGCATTTGGTCTTACAGCCTAGCATGCAGGGTCTGTAGAATGCGCGAGAATTTGTAAGGGTCAAGGTTTTCGGTTGTTTTTGCAGGGCCGGGGATTCTCGAGACCTTGCAAGGCGCATTTGGTTCGCAGCGAGGGCGATGAGCAGTACTACATTGTGGGAACCCCATGTGCAAATTGAACGTTCCAGGAAGCAGCAACAGACACAGAGATTTTGCATATGTTTTTACCGTAGTCGGCATCGTGATAGTAACTTGTCGTTGTCATCGTAGAAGAAGTGCTGCTGGTCGTGGTGGTGGTGGTGGTGGTGGTGGTGGTGGTGGTGGTAGCGGTGGTGGTGGTAGCGGTGGTGGTGGTAGCTGTGGTGGTGGTGGTGGTGGTGGTGATATCGGTGATGGTCTTGATGGTGGTGATAGTGGTGGTGGCGGCGGCGGTGGCATTGGCGGTGGCGGCGGCGGCCACATGCGGCGTAGTAGTCGTCGTTGTTGTCGTCGGCGTCGTCAGTAGCAGTAGCAGTAGCAGTAGTAGTAGCAGTAGTAGTAGTAGTAGCAGCAGTAGTACTACTACTAGTAGTAGTACTTACCCTACCTAACGTACCAGTAATGGTTGGGAAGGGGGTGAGGAAGGGTCGGGGACAGGTTGGTATCCATACCAACTGGTCCAATCCGCCAAAGCCAGTAATCCCCCAAAACCAGTTAAGGGAAATGTCGCAGCGTCTTGTGAGGGTGGGGAAGCACAAGATGATGCTCGGTCCAAGCTCAAAGACGCTCGAAAAGGAGCGATGGGTAGCCTGAATGCCCATCCGCCGAGGTGAACACCAATGCTAGCAGTATTGTTGCGATATATCGCTGTGTTGTGTTTGTGCTCTTGAGGCCAAGACTATCGACCTCACCTGCCTCTCTGCCAAGGCATCCCGCCACGACTTGTTGCAGACATTTTTGGGTTCTCATTGCGGCTTTGGGAGTTTTAATGGAAAATCTATAGATGGCTCAGTTGGAATAGCAAGGCATCCCGGCGCCGGTGCATGCAGAGTAGACACTTGCATAACTGCAGCTGGTTGTCAGCAAGGAGCGGGAAACCGCAAAGCAGGAGGTTGCTCTTCTCAGTCGCCTCGGGCTGAGATCTTTAGGACTCTCGGGCTTTCAGAGGTGAGCTCTGGCTTCCTGTCACTTGACTAAGGCCTGAACCACCCGAACATAGTGTCGTACAAGGATAACTTCTTCATGGGTGCCAACCAGGCGCCTTTCCAGAGTCTAGTTGACACAGGGGACCTGCCCATATTGTCTTCTTTGCAGACCCGGGGCAGGATACCCTGGTCATCATTATGCAGTACTGCGAAGGAGGTGATCTGGCCACCTACATCAAGGACATAGCTTCCAGTAGGAGTCATTTGCACAGTTGTCACTTCCGTACGAGCCTGCCTCACGTTGAAATTAGTCGGGTTGGATGTCTCCACAGCCTTGACCTCCGTCGTCCACAAAGGGACTTGTCTGTTCATCATTTTTACTGACGGCTCCGCACCGAGCGATGATCCTGCTTGTGAAGCCACGGTGACCTTGGCACTTCCTCTTGGAGTTCGAATCAGGTGGTGACGAGGTTGTCACGTGTAGGGTGTGCATGCTGGAACCTCTCCTCGTCCGTATGAAGAACCATGAGCATGGTACAGTAGAATCCTTGCCTGCCAGATTCCCCAAGGCAGCTGTGGCCTGAACGAACGCACCCTCATTATGACTCACGCGTTTTTCCGACGGACATCTACGGATCTCCCCACGTCATGCGTCTCAAGTCGATCATCGTGATCGAGAGCTTTGTGCAGAGCTGCTGGAAACGACGAGCACAGATGTTCCGTGTGGAAACCATTGGAAACCCACATCAGCTAAGTCCAGGCTAATCCAAGCGCAGAGGGCAGAGGGTTGCTGTTTTCACTTCGGGATAGGGTGAAAGATCGAGGGAGGTAGACGAATGTGATCAGCAACTGCGACTGCCCGCGAAGCGCTGCCACCATTAAGCCACCAGCCCCAATCCCGAAAGGCGTCTGGATGTCTCTTCGAACTTCGATTCATAGCCCCTGCCCTGGCGTTTCTGAAGAGCGTTACGGAATGACATGAATGAACTCTCAAAGGGATCAGCCGTAAGATCCCTGCTCTGTGCTTTCGTTTGCTCTGTTGCGCTGCAAATTCATGAGCGTAAAGCACATAGAACCTCCAAGTCATCGGGGTGCATGTTGGCTTGTCCTCCTTGTCACCGTCGCTCCATATGGCTGCCTGCAGTTTGGGCCTCGTGACGACAGCTCTTCATGTAGTCTCAAGCAAATGCGTGTCCATGTGACTTGCGCACTGCAGGACATGCTCAAAAAGAAGACGCGAATTGATGAGTACCAGATCATGCACTACTTCGTGCAAATTTTGCAGGCCCACACCCGGGAAAATTGCATGGAGCACTTGGGCTCGTCTCTTGCTTCTGACAGGCCTTGCAGTACATCCATGGGGAACGCATCCTGCACAGAGACCTCAAAACGTCGAACCTTTTCCTCATGAAGAGCAAGTCTGCCGCGGGGCTGAGCAAGAATCAGCTGCTTCCCGCACAGGTGTCAAGAACTTTCCTCTTTTCATCGCACTTCTAGTTGTACTCACATTGTGTGGTTCTGTGAAATAAGTGGTGGTGAAAAGATTGGTGGATTGTTGAGGTCGTGAAGCTGGGAGACTTTGGCATCTCAAGGGTCCTGGAGGGCTCCATCGAGGCAAGACTAGGCCACGAAGCAGACTGGCTGTCAGCTGCAATGTGCGAACACCTGGCGAGGCTGCCATCACTGTAGTTGGAACACCGTGACCCGCTCCAGCGAGTTGCAGATGCCGAGAGATGCACACTCTTGACGAGCTGAGGTACTACATGTCTCCAGAGGTATGCGAAAACAAGCCCTACACGTTCAAGAGCGATGTGCTTTGCTGAGGATCCAATGCACATGTTAGAGCAGCCATGCTTACAATGGATCGCAGCAAGGTGTGGTCTTTGGGATGCTGTTTGTACGAGCTGTGCATGCTCAAGCATGCCTTTTCTGCCGACAACCTCCTCGGGTTCAAGCCCCGGATCCGCGCATGATGAGAGCCAGAGAGCGCTCCCGTCTCGCGGAGGCTTGTGTACAAGATCGTCAGCGACAAGTATGAGCCGGCGGCTTCAGTTGTCCAACAATGTCCAAAGTACAGCTGAAAGTGGATTAAGCTCAGCAATCAGCACCTTCGTCACTTTGGGCCACTGTGAGGCCGATCCCAGAGCGCTACACTCCGCAGCTCAACACGCTGATTCAGCGGGGCAGCCCAGATGTATTAAAAGTACACCGCCGCACCTCAGCCCTGTTTACTTAATTCAGCGTGCTGTGGCAGACCTGCTACTGACAGAGCATCCAGTACCTACATCAGTGTGGACTGAGCTGTTCATAAGCTCTCAATCTTAGTGCGCTGCAGCTCCTGCTTCACGTTCGCTCGGCTAAGGCGCATGCTGGAGAAGAATGCGGAACAGCGACCAAGCGTCAGGGACCTCCTTGCCGATGCCTACGTGCAGGAGCACTTCTTGGCTTTGCTCTAAAAAATCTTGTGTTGCAACTCATTTCTCGCCTGTGCAGTCCTTCATGAATGCAGCCGTGCAGAATCGGCATACAAGCCCAAAGCTGAGCACTGGAAGCATTGCCAACGCGAGTAGTACAGTTTGCCCTTGAGGGAGTGGGGGCTAATCCCAGGTCAGAGCACGACTGAAGCGTCAACTGCTCCAGGTAAGCAAAATATCAGAATGTTGCTTCCGAGAGGTTCGCAGAACTGCAAATTCAATGGACAGGTGGCGTCACCTTGCCGCGGAGCTCTGGCAGCCTACGGTCAGGCAAATGTTGGGGAATGTGTGTTCCATTGTGTTCCATGACGAAAGCCGGATTGGTGTCATGGCGCCAGGAGGCGCGCCGCCTCGACCGCCCAGCTTCCCTCCTGCGGAGGTGCAACGCGGAATTCGGCCTGGCCTGCAACTCGGTCAGCCATGCTACAATTGTAGCTTGAAGGTATGCAGTTATGCAGTTCAGTTTTGTTTGGCTCCGTTTAACTGCCGCTGGAAGATGCAGGTCTACGTTGCATGTAGCAGTGCTTGCTCTAGCCACTCTGCCAGCTTCCCTGACGGTCGCGCATTTCACAGCGTGCTTCGTGCTGCTCTGACGTTTGTTTCCATGAGAGTCCGGTCTGGACACCAAACGAAACAACGTACTTCATCAGGTGCTTGCCTAGTAGACTTCTCATGTCAACGTGGCGACCTTGTAAATGTTTGCCTAAACTTTCTGAGCAATGCCCCCAAAGTTGACGTGTACCGAGGGCAGAAGCAAGTTCGACAGACCGGAGGCCTCTGACCCGGAAAATGAATAGAGATATTCGAGGGACATGTGTGGTGTGCTGGATGTTTGAGGGCTCCTGTAAGTGTCACCGTTTTGAGCTGAGGTAGAACAGCCGCATCACGTGTCGACCTCGAGAACATTGTGCCATATTGTGCCTGCTCTCTTGTTGCACAGGGTGTGTGCAGGGAGATCCCATTGATTGACCATGCCCAGCCCCAGGCGCAGCTGCGCGGGCTTCAGAAACGCCCAAAGAGGCGGCGGCCCGGCGCAAACGTGAGGCGGCAGACCGCAAGGCAAACGGATCGCCCGTGTTTTTTCTCCTAGATTGCTTGTGGAGATACGGACGTGCAGGCTGAGCAAATGAAAATGGCTGCGAAGCAGTCGATGCACAACAAGACTGTTGCGCGCCTAGCCGATAGCCTTCCTCATGCTGCAGTAAGTGGAGGCATCAGCGGGCGACTCAATGGCAGTCTCCGGGACACAGTTATCGTCCAAAGCACGAAGGTCGCGAGGCAGATGAGGGAAGCGGAATTTCAGTGGGGACCTCATGGGCATATCAGCAACTCGCATGGTCCTTAAAAAGGATTTCACAACCTGGTTCTTGAACCGGTACGGGTGCTCATGGCTGTCTGAGCCCAGGACGACGTTGGCCAGCGGTCTTGGCGCAGTGCATCAACTTGATTAAGAGTGCTGGTGACTGCTGTGCCCACTTTTGTGTGCCGAGGCAGCGACAAGTCCCAGCCCGCCATCGCCACCGCCTCCCTGCGGCTTCGGGGCTGGAGGGCACGCGTCCACCGGTGTCTTGGTAGCAGGGGGATCAAAGATCGCGGGCCGGTGATGGGACATGCCTTCTCAGGTCATGGTCATGGGCTTTGGCTGGTTTTGCCATAAGTATATATGCACGGTTAAGCCCAAAACCCGTATCAGCCAAAAAGATATGCAAAACAAAGATGCACCTTACGGCATCCTTACGGCGCACAGCAAGGATCAACCCTACCAAAAAGAGCAGAGGTTGTGAAAGACAGCGCCTAGAGCAACGTCTGGCATGAAGGGATGTCAATGATATCATGACTAGGTGGGGTGAGCGCCAGCCCAAGTCCAACAGCAAGCCCGGTGCGGGCCTTGGAGCCGCATGAGACATCTCAACTGGCTCTAGTCTGAGCAGATTTCGACACCCTGCTTTGCAAGTAAATCTGCACAGATGCACCATGCAAGCACTCTTTACAGTGAAGAGATGCGTCTACTGCCGAGATGCACGATGATGACATTGACGAGGCCTGCAGGGTACGTAAATGCTGCTGGTAGTTGTGTGCTCATCACCTGGGGCTTGGGTGTGGCGTTGTCGTCAGTTGCTTGAACATGCCTTTCTGCAACCGGCCAGCTGTAAAGGCAGACTTGTTCGCATGACAAAGCAAAAGCTGAAGGGATTTCACGCACTGAAGGGAGCTGTCCATTCTGAACGAGCATGCCTCTCGAGGATGATCTACCCCTCGAGGAAATCGATGAAAGTGACTACTCTGAAGAGTATGAGGACGCTTCACGCGCAAGAGAAGCGGCAACCTCAACACGTGCCTGTGCATGTCCAGGATGACTTCGAGGATGAGCCATATTCTGAGGAGGAGCCTGTGATGTCTGATATTGAGGAGGCAGAACGTGCTAGCGACTGCTTGGATGTCATGGGGCCTTCTATCCAGCATGCAGGTCTACATGGGCCCCGGTGCAGGCTGGGCTGGTTAGGCCAGTTCCTGTGTCGCTGAGGCTGTGATTGCCTGAGGCGCCCTATCAATCGTGCGCGAGGAGGAGGATCTTTCAAGGGTGATGAACAACTACGAACAGGACTGCGCATCAAGCAGCAGTCGCAGACGTCTGATGAACGCGCAGATTGCCTCCTCAGGATTTGGCAAGAAACTCCGGTTCTGCATCTCCTGCTCCGTCACCAACCCTTCAGCCGCTACCTGTCTGCCACAAGCCTTCGACATGCTGTGGGCTGGCAGTCTCATGGCAGCATAACGTTGCTTCAGAGGCGGAGGACTGGAAGCCTCGAGCGGAGCCCAATGGTGTTGCTCCAATCATTCTTCCGAGAACTGTGACTTGATGATAGGGACACGTGGCAGCCAAGACTCTAAGACGTCAGGCACCTCCACCTCCACCTGCTCCTGGCTCTATCATGGACGTTCGCAAGACTCTCAGCCCCCGATGTAAGCAAGAGACCTTGCTGGTGATCGGTGCCGTACATCAGGCTCTCGTGCCTCGCGATTGAGAGAGGAGTGGGGAGCCCAGCAGGTCGTTGCTCCTTACTGTCACAGGTTGCCACAGGCTGCAAGCCCTCAGGCTGATCTGCAAGATGGGTCAGGAAACTTTCGAGAAGGCCGCAAGTTCTGCAAGACCCTGAGCAGAGATGCGAGTGCGCCTCAGGCCTTCAACTTTCTCTACGGCGCCCGCATGAAGAACGCTGATCAACGCAGCTTGGCAAGTCTTCTTCCCTGTTTCAGCTAGAGTTATTTGCGTGGAATCTGGTGGATTTGAATCGGTTCTCTTCCTGGCACGAGCAGTTCTCGGCATCAGGCAGCGTCAAGCGGGACCTGGAAGCACTGGTCGGTCGACAGGTCTACAAGCCGCTGCCTCAACAAGCCTGACAGTTGGCGATAAGGTGACGTCATTTGACAACACCAGCCTTTCATAGCCTTTCTACGAACGAGCTTTTTTTTGTTCTTGTCCAGGGACTACTGCTTTGACGTGGACCAGCTCGTTTTTCAGCCGCTTCTCTTGTCAGTTTGCCACTGTCTCCCTTGGACCTGAGGTCTGCGAGAATTCTGCTTCGTGCTGTTTCGTGCGATAGTGCCATTGACTCGCCTCATGCTGAGGCAGTTAACATACGGTGGTACCTGAAGTCGTCAAAGACTCTTTGGACCTCTTCGATTTTCCAAGTCAATGCCTACGTCGGCAGTTTGCAAGGTGTTTGGACAGAAGACTTGGACTGCACAATTGAAACTCACGCTTGAGCTTGCAAAGCTCCACTGCACTGTGCAAACTGCCCGGCCAGCCTAGGAACCTTGCTCTTTCACCAAGTGTCGTTCAGGCGAATGTGGCTCTGAAGACACCACAGCGTGCTAAAGAGGTTTGTAGCTGCACGACCGGCGGACTTGGTCAAAGAGCAGTGTCAGTCTCCACTGCGGATGGGAAGTCACTGAACGAAGCACGATCAGCATAGGATCATGGATAGTTTCAGCGGCATACAATTTCATGTGGCCTCAGGTGACCTCAGGCCGCTGTTTCACTTAGTGTCGAGCCAAGAGGTTGCCATGGCTGGGCTCGCTTTTGCAAGAAAAGCCAAGCATGTCTGCTGGATGGTGTTGGCGCAACTTCGCTCCTGCAAGCAGCTTTTGTGGATTATGATGTGAAAATGCACGGGTGACTCCGCAGCGATGGTGCCGAACGCTCCGTATGTTCTTGACACACTGTCGCGTTTGCTACCGCATGCCGGTTGCCAGACATGAATCAGGATTCGTGCAGAGAGTGTGACGCGTCTCTATGTCAGGTAAAAGATGCCAGCATTGTAGGCCCTCCTGCATTGCTTGCAGCAGGCTTGTTGAAGAGCTGTTTGTGCCTGGCCGTTGCAGGCGATGATTGCGATCAGGCAGCTGCTGCAGCTGCTGCAGCAACAGCAGCTGTTTTGGAGGATCTTGCTCCTGTGTGAAAGATGTGATGCGTCCGTTGCCTGTGTTTGTTCGATTCAGTGAGGACGACGACCCTTGGATTGTGGTTCATAACTTACAATCAGATCACTTGCCAGCGGAGCAACTCCCTGCGCTCGTACCTGAGAGAAAAACCACGGGCGGGCTGTGTTTTTTGAGGTGAATGAAGACCTGACGTCTGCTTCCTTCGAGACTCCTTCGCAGCACCCGCTCAGCATCCCCGCAAGACAGTAGGTCCGAAAGACTGAAGCAGGTTGAAGTTGAGGAGATATTGAGGAGTTGAGGGGAAGTGGCGATGTCAATGAAATCTGAGGCCACCTTTGGAGCCGGCAGAGCCTTGCAAGTCGCCGTCTTGAACTGCGGAGCCTGATGTTGCGAGAGTTGCGAGCATGGTGTGAGTCTCGGATAGTCTTGGGCTCAGGTCTCGTGGTAGCACTCCACAATCCGAATTCTACGGCCGGCTTACTCGGATTCACGTTTGCCATGTTTGCTTTCTTTGCCGGGCTTGCAGCTTCAGATGAAAGCTGCAGAACAGGCCATTTGAGTTCCTTTGACTTCAGAGACCTGAGTCCGGAAGAGGTATGCGGCCTGCCTGGTAAGTATGTCGGATGTAGAAGGCAATGAAGCGGAGTGATCTCTCACGGGGCAGATAACACATGAGATTGGAGAGGTTGCCTTCTACGCTTCGTACAATCAGTTTCCTATGCCCTTTCAAACAGCCTGCGCAGCCGTTGGCTGAGACCAGCCTTGATGTGGAGCCATTCAAATGTCACAGGCAAGTATATCCATGGCCCACGTGGGTTGGAGGATTGTAGCGCTGCCCCGTAACTTGTTGGATCTAAGTAGTCCTCATACTTGCTTGAGGCCAGGACAAGGCAGTGATCAATGTGTAGCAAAATTCACATGTGCAAACGAAGCCTGTAGCCTGCCTAAAAGTGTTCCCTGGCCCACCCATCTCTGAATGAACAACTGAGCTTAACTAGGCCTGAAGGCTTCCCTGAGAACCTTAGCGGGTGCTCAGCCCTTGGACACTTCAATACTTAAACCCCATATAACCCCATTATAGTAGTTTCCATTTTCTTTTCCATTCTTCCTATAAACCCCCTATATAACCCTTAACCCTAATGAACCTAGCCCTGTGTCCGAAGCGGCATATGCCGACCTGAGCCGACCTGCCTGCTTGCTTGGTGCAGGACTCTTGGCCTCTTGCACAGTCTCTATAGGCTTAAGGGTTTAGGGTTATATAGGGGTTTTATAGGAATAATGGAAACGAAAGTGGAGTGTGCTAGAATGGGGTGATTTATAGGGTTGTATGGGCAATGTAACTACTAGTTACGCTTTCTTTCACGCACAGGCAATGGCACTTAGATGTTCTCTGGACCACAAAAGCAAGTCCTGCGAACCGGCGATCGCGTGCGCCCGGCACCTAAACGTCTTCGGTGCTCAAGCATTCGTGATTTTGCATGAGCCGGAGGTGCCCACTTCCAGAATCGATACGGCACGAAAAGCTCAGGCTGGAAGTGCCCGGGAATTTCCAGTCAAGCTAGTTAGAGGCTCCGCTATCCAAACACTCTGTGCAGCCACCGACGTGGGCACCTTGCTCCAGTTCACGACCTCAGAAGTCGAGGCCAGTCTAAGCATTCTAAGCACTGTGAAGTGCTGTGCATCTTACGTGTTCACTTTGCTGCGAGATCCATTTCGACGATGGCGCTGTGCAGTGCGTCTCCAAGGCATCTTCCAGAGTCAGGAGTCAGACGTGCCAAGAGTGCTTGGAGCATCAGACCTGGATCGCCGAGCGTATGTCTGCATGGGACTTGGACCTTGCGCTGGAGCCTGAGCACCCTCAGGAGGAGCTGCTACTCCGAACCACATCGCACCACTGTTGTCCACTATGCAGCTTCTTACGCTGAGGCCGGGCGATATTGTCTACGCGCACTATGCCTCTGGCAAGGTGCGCGGTGCCAAAGGATTGGTTGAGCAAACCAAGGGGACGCGTGGCAGAATTTTGTTAGCAAATCGCATGGGCAGGCATTCAACATGCTTAGGATCATCAGCGACCGGTCTTGACAGAAGTCAATGTGGTCTGCCGCTGGCGCCACTTTTAATGCCAGGGGCGAACGGTCAACACCGACCTTGGCATAGTAGTGGCCGTCCTCGACGGTGGCCGAGTTCGGATCCGGCACTTCACCAAGTTTCTTAGCTGTGCTGTCCAATTCTTGGCATCGCCTGTCACGAGCAGGTTTCAGGACCAGATCATGCAAACCATCCCGATGGGATGGGCCCAGCACCCGGCAGCAGGTCCATTCATACTTGATCATATTTGCTGGGCAATTTCAAGCGACCTCGCCCGACCTCACCCTAAAAAGTGGTTCATATAGGGAACACTAACAAAATGGCCTTAAATTGGGAATTGAAATTCTTCTAAATTGCCCTGTATTTCTAAATGGGGACTTAGTGCTGAGGTTGAGCAGGTAATGCGGTTAGAGCCCGGAGATCGTGTGCTGCTGGCGGACATTTGAGCTTTTGCTCGGGCTGCCGTGCTTCTGCTCCATGTCTTGTGAACATGCGCCGCAGCAGGTAAATGCCTTCTTCAAGGTCAATGACGGGAGGCCAAATTTGAGATTGGTCATGTCATCCATTGTACTTGTTCTCCAGTCCTATTCGGAGCAACCTTTGTAGTCATACGTCTGGGCAGGGGCGCAAAAAGCGTCAAGACCGACATGGGCTCAGTGCTTGCCGTCTCAAAAGAGGACGTGTACATAGGCTGGGTGATCCTGTACCTGCCACCACCCGAAAGCCTGGCAGGCCCGTTTCGGTTTGCAATCTCTGCCACCTTGACTGCCAGTTTTCGACGACAACGTGGAGCAGAATGTGCCCAAGACTTGGGTGTAGCCGGCTTTGATTTCTCAAGCCAGCTCAGAGTGCTCTATGACTTCCTAGTGGTCCTAGTGTGTCACCCCCGTGACGGATTTGGCTTTCGCCCGGAAACCATCTGAGCCTATTTGAGATGCGTGAGCCAGGTGTGTCATCGTGCCCGGCCCTGGAACCTGCAGGCATGCGATCCCTGCGAACATGCAACCTAATTGTGTCAGGGATTGTCTGTGAGGTCGAAGTCGGAAGTGTTGCAGACGTTCACTTCGAGGTGGGGGACCTCCAGATCTGCACAGATCAGACGTGGTTCTCGCACCTTGAGGTGGGTGAAGACGGGCGTCGGAGCACCAGCACTGATATTGGGATCATTCTCTCTGATCCCATCGATGGCCGCGTACAGGTTCAATTCCAGGACTTCGGTCCAACTTTGCGGGTCTAACATGCTCTCGTACCCAGACATTGCTCGTGGCATGAGGGGAGCGCCCAGGATACCATCCAGCAGACGGTCCCTCTCGGATGGATCGTTCGGCTACGCGAGTGGGCCGTTGGCGATCGAGTGCAGGCAAGCAGTGGGATTACAGAAGCGGAGTCGTCGCAGAATCTGAATTACTGGATGTGGCCTCATAATATCTGTAAGCGCCAGCACGCGTCCGCCTCGGCAGCCGGGCTGGCAAAGGAGGTCGCAAGTATTTGTATCCAGAGCGAAAGGCGGGTTGGGGGGCTGGGGGCGGGCCTGGGGGGGGCCGGGTCAGAAAAAGCAAAAAATCAGATCGCTGTATTCCAGAACCTTGGGCGGACAACGAGTGTCATTAGTGATCATTAGTGGGCAGGAGTTGGGGCCAGGGTGGTGGGCGTAGTAATTTTGGGATGTGGGCGAGGGCAGGGAGAGGGGGAGAAGGCGGACGCCTGTCGCAGAGCAGAGGAGGAGGGATCTTAAAGCAGACTGGCGCTGGGTGGGTGCCATTGCTCATCTTGAGTTTGCGAACTGGTGATTGCTGCAAGGCCCACTTCAAGACCGGCGGTGGTGAGAAGAGCACAGACACTGATGTTGCCACAGTGATGAGCTCTTCTTTGCTGGAGGTAGGTGCCCCTCAACATGTCGCCTGCAGAGTGACCCGGACTCCATCTGTCTTCCCGCGAAGCGTCTAGGTGGAGCTGTACTTTGACGATGGCATCCAACAAAACGTCTCCAAGGCTTTCAATCGGCACGCTTACCTTGATGCTTTTGTGTTTCAAGAACCTCTTCACGATGTGAAAAAGGCCTGGGTGACGGAGCGGATTCGGGACTGGCACGCCGAGGTGGGAGTGGGCGCAGACTTCTTCAGACTTTTTGTAAACTGAGTCATACTCTGTTGCTCTATGTTGCTCTGTTGTAGGTGTTGGAGCTGGCACCCGGGGATGTGGTCATCGCGCACTTCAAGCGTCCGGGAAACCAGTGCAGATGCCAAGATGCTGCGAAGTTTTCAACGGTGTTCAACGAGTCTGCACCTAGAAGTGGTGCTCTTGCCCAGTTGCCGGAGTGTGCAAACGGACCGGGGCATAGTGCTGGCACTGTTGCCGCGGGGTGAGGCTCCTGCTCGCAGCTTGCCCTGCCCGGACTGCCCGGACTTATGGAGAGCAGTTCATGGCTGTTGCCAGGTCTCTGTCACGTTCCAGGATGACATAACGCAGGCCAGATTAACGCCTTTGTAGCACACCTCGTGCCTGCGCAGAGACTTTTTGCGAGGTGATTCCCAAAGGTTGGATCCAGGCATCTTGCTTCCTCAGCAGCTTCCAACGTTGTGGACCATGCATCTGCAGTGTCAGACAGACACATGGGACACAAAGTGTTGAAGGCGGTAGCAACACGTTGGTCTGGGCAGCGGGACGAGTTTGCCCGAGACAAGGCGGAAGTCGAAGCTGAAAATTTCACACCTCTCCTTGTTGCCTACTCGATGCCCGTCTTATGCCACGTTGGGAAGGCCTCGGAGATTGTCAGCTTCGAGTCCAAGCAGAGGGCACAACGCCGCAGCCAAAGCTTTCATTCCTGTCTGAGGCCGTGTCTCGGAACAGCCTTTCTGATCTGAGGTCCTCTCGTTCCGGCTACAGGTACCGAGTGTGCTTCGGCTTTGTAATTTTTCTTTGCTGGCCACTTGCTTGTCTGTGATTGACTAAGGTGTCATCTGTATGGATGCCAAGCCTCGGCCTGAGCTTCCCGCAATGCTACCAGATATTCTCCCAAGTACAAAAGCTTGGCTGGGAGCAGGCTTTTGGTTGCAACGAGTTTGGGAACGGTAGAGCCAGGCCTAACGGCGTCATTGTGCACGGAGAGACGCCCCAGCCCAGGATCTTTCTGAGAGCCCCATTGCGCCTGCATCAATTGCGGCTCACTTTTGCTGAGGTGTCATCAGAGCACCTGCTTCACATGTGCAAAGCGCTTGCAACGAGCAGGCGATTCCTGTCCAATTTGCCGGGTTCTTCGGCTGCAAGTGCGATTAACTTCGGATGTTTTCATATGCAGCAAAGCACGCATAGTGGCATTGCATCGCTGTCTGTTGCAAGGAAGTCATTGACCAAGTGTGCAAACTCCATGGCGACTGACTCGCTCCCCCACTTGTCTGGTTGTGCGCTGCGCAGCGCTCAAAGCTCTGCCCTGGTCTGCTCGCCTTGGAGCGCAGACCCGGCGTTTTCACGTTTCACTGCTAGAGACGCCAGATGGAACGCGAGAAAATTGGAGTGTTCTCTTAAGCAGACCTAGCATCTTCTTCAGCCTCTTCAATTTGAAGGCCATGCGACGGAATGAGACAGACCCCAGTTGTGCAGGCTGCAGCTATCCATGCGGGCCTGGACAAGGAATACAACAGGCTGCATGCTTAGAGACTCCGGGCCGTCTTGTCTACTTTTGACTGGGTGACGCATGCTCAAGTATGTAGCATACCGAGTGCAGATAGCAAGGCCTGCTGTTAAGATCTATCAAGGTTCTGCCGCGTGACCATGAAGGGTCCGGAGGATTACCGCACCATAAGGACGGTGCGTGACAATTTGCCGGGACAGCTGGTCTCGCAGCTTCGCCAGGTTGGAGCCAAGTGCTGTCCGCTGTCAGCCGGCAGAGGCCACCGTGCCAGCAGCATTCGCAAACGGGAAAGGCTGGCTTCCTTCGAGGCCTGGCATTCTGGACGTTGGAAACCCCCCGTTGGTTCCACCTGGAGGCGTGTGAAGACGAGTCGGCTTACAGTAAATACCTGTTATTCACAAGCATTCCGTGCGGCCCCTGAGCTCCTCCTTCGCGCTTGCCGTGGAGAAGTCAACGAACTGCAACTTGGCTGCCAAAAAACTGCTGACGTTGTAGCCTCTGTTGAGTTGCGAGCCGCATGTGTGTGAGCAAGCGTCAGAAAGTTGGACCAGGAGACAAAGTGCTGTAAGGGGCTAAGAGAAGTAGAGACAGTCCAAAAGCGTTGGGACCTCCCAAAACCATCCCCCACCAATCTTAAGAATTCTTTCGGCCATTTCATAGAGGGTCATTATACATTGTCTCTCTTTTGCCTAGCAAAGCACCCAAGCGGTCATTTCACAGAGATGGCTTTGTTTGATGTGAAGATCTTCATGGAGCGGTGCTTTCTGACACTTTGGAGACCGGCTAAAATTCTCACCAGCCATTTCATGGAGGGATGCCTTGCACGAGGCACCTCTAATTTCATAGAAAGCGTATGGGACATTGCCGCCCGCCAGAGTTGTTTCTCTTGCAGCATCTTGCGGGAGCTTGTTGAGTGCAATGTAACACTAGAGTATCCCTGCAGTGCCCAACCACAGAGTATCCCTGCAGTGCCTAAAGGCAGGGTATGCCTGCAGTATCCTGCAGTGCTCAGACGGGGTCCAACCGCAGCGTGCAGTAGAGTCAGTAGAGTATCCCCCAATGGCAGGGTATGGCTGCAGTGTCCTGGTCCGTTTCACAGGACCTTAGTAGGCCTCTCCTTTCTAAAGGACTGTATAGAGCCCTTACAACCATCTTAAAGGGACCCTATCTAGGCCTTGTAGCACCTGCAAAGGACGCAAAACAGCCCGTCTAACAGCTTGAAAAGGGACGCTGTTTAGACCTTATGACTTATAGCCCACATAGCGCTTAGCGCCCTTAAACAAAGCCGTTATTACCCCTTTCAATGGACCGAAGGCTGTGGGGATGCACCATGTCCATAACCCCCAAGAATTATGAACTCTCCGTAAACATCCCCTATCCTTCATATTGGCCTGAAAATATGTTCAAGGCCATTTTTGGGACATCTCTGAGGTGCGTGTTGAGGGGGTCAAAGAATGACCTGGCAGACGTGGAGAGGTCCGCCAGGCCATTATTTCACTCCAAAGGCCGGCTGTGCTCTTGTTAGTTTTTCTGAGGCCGCGCCTTTTTACGTCTCTACGCGCTGCCCATGACACAAGGAAGTCGCTGCTGCACGAACTGCGCAAAGCAGATGAAGTTGAATTGTTTTGCTGAAAGCGCGGGGTAGCGTGTAAGCAACCACAAGGAAGACAACAGATGCAAATTCAACTTCATGTGTTTTGCACAGTTCGTGCAGCAGCGACTTCCTTGCACATTTTCATGCTCCCATGCAAATCTCTGTCATCGGGAGCGCGTAGAGACGTAAAAGCGTTCCATTTACCACCTAACAAAGCGCGGCCTCAAAAAGTCTAAAAGGAGAGCTTGGTGTCTAGAACTGAAAAATGCCTGGAAAGTTGCATTAAATGGCCCAGCAAGGGGGGGTTCTTGAAATTTGCATTGGAACTTGGATTGAGTGGCCCAGCGGGGGGTGGACATTCAATGGCCCGGATTCTTAGCTGTTTTTGGGAAGGTGTCCAAGCAAAGGTCATAGGAAGAGGGGGTAGCACGTAAAACGTTCCCCAGGCCATCTTCAGGTCCCCCCTCCCTCAAAGCATAGGCGATCCGTAAACCCTCTTGTCAAATTCTCTATAGACACTCACCACGGAAGCCAGCACAGGACCATGGGGGCACCTCTATAAGCGCCCAATAAAGTTCTATGAAACCTTTATAAAGCCTCTACGAACCCAGAAGACTCTCTAACATTTTCCTAAGCTATCTAATCTACAGAAGTTATGAATGCGTGTAAACCTTCTAGGAACGTTCATAAAACCTTTGTAAACCGTCTGGAAACCCCTTTCTCTCTAAGCCCTGTATGAAATTCTATCAAACACTCATAAACCCTCTAGAACCCCCTGCTCTTGAACCCTTTCAACGCCTGCTATAAAATTAACGAGCCCCTGCAAACCTTCTTTAAACCATATAGAAGCTCTCTACAAACAGTATAAGCCTCTACAAACCTATGTAAGCCTCTGAATTAAACATATTTAAACCAGCCAGCCCAGACCGTGGGATCACCGAACCATTGGGGGGGGAGGGGGTAGGTTAATCATATTCCATATCATGGACTCAGGGACCATTGGGCGGGGGGAGGGTTGGGGGGGAGGGGGGGACCCATGAGTGCTGACGCATATCTGGCCCTTCTAGCCAATCTGAGTGGACCCTATACAGGCCTTATTACCTTTGTAAGAGGCCCTAAGTATGTTTTATACACAATTTTAAGTTTTCATGTTTGGGGGACTGGCTGAGTAAGATTAACCAGAATCGGTCAACCGCCCCAAGTGCTGGACAATCACACTTCAGGTGCGGATGCTCAAAGCAAATAAATTTACAGTGGTGTCTTGTTTTGGTGATCTTGCATTTTGTATTATAAGCACTCGCCTGTCATTTCCTAGAAGTCGGAGGCTTTCGTGGCCTTTTGCCCATCTGAGCACGCCAACCACTTGATCGCTCGTAATTGTATTAAATGACATTCCAGACTTGGCTGCGGATATTCAAGGGTTTCCAAAAGCGATACTCAACTACCTCAAATTGTGGTTTCTTCCAACGCATGCCACGTGTAAAGCTCCACATTTTGTCAGACAATGTAGCGGTATGGTACTGCGAAGAGCAGTCGACGCAGTTCTCTACAAGTCTTCAAACTGTCTAGCCCAGGTTATGTCAACGTGGGCCTCGTGGAGTGGGTGGCAGTCCGCAAGGCCTGAGAGAGCAACAGTTGGAGTCTACAAATGCAACCTGAAATTGACATAGTTGCCAGAGTATAGTGCCAGTTGACTTCAGGAAACTGACGACGACCTACAGGCCAGCAGATTCCCAAGCTATGGATGCAACAGTGCACGTGCTAAAAAGAGCGCTCACTGCGAGGAAGCTCCCGCGCCAGAAGTGCAAAGCCTGGCAGACGTACTCAAGGCAAAGTGATGTACTTGTCGTCCTTTTGCCTATACTGCCATAGTTGACCTAAAGCAGCTGGCAGACTATATCTACCTGCTTTTTTTTCTTCGGCAAGAAAGCAAAGAAACCGACACGTGACGGGAAGCCTTTGAAGACCTCGCTTGAGTTCTGCTGAAGGTGAAAGCTGATGCCGAGGACATATGTGTCCAAGCACCTCTGCAAACGTTTTGATAGTACGTGGTGCTTGAAACAGGCTTAATTTTGTTGATGGCACTTCTGATGCCCCTTCCGACCCAGTGTGTCTGCAGGATGCGGTGTCAGGAGGCTGGCTACCTGAGCAGCACGTTCGGCACTTGGAAGCTGTGTGAAGCTGCAATGATAGCCACGGGACAGGAGACTGGGCAATGTAAAGCGTCTCTGGCAGGTCAACACATGGATTTGCAGGGTGTCTTGTTCTGGGAGGAAGGTTGAGCCGCAATCTTTTTCGAAGAAGCCCTTTGCATCCTGTGGCCTCCCGCCCTGGCATCCTGTACCGCTCAATGCTATCCCTATCTATCCCTCAAGACATGGCAATGCAAGGGGTGCAGATTGTACCTATGGTACCCAATATTGAGTAAGATTTTTTATATAAGGAACATAATCTTACTAGGTTTAACCACCAAAAAAACACTACTCATTTGAGGGCATTTGTGATGTGCGGCTGCTGGGGGGAAGACTTGCCTGGGGAAAGTGGCGCCCAAAGCAGCCTCTTCACTGTCAGCAGCACCAGCGCGACCCACTGCCGTCGAGAATACTGATGGAGTCACGTAGCGCCCGGTGGCGCCCAACGCAGGCCCTGCGTTGCCTTTTCAGACGCCGTCGCATCGTTCGCAGCTCATGCGAGTATAATGTGGGAGAATCACCTCATTACTTCCAGCTTCCCAACATGTACTTAAACTAAGCGGAGCAGATTTTGCAGGGACAGCAGAACAACCAGCATCAGAGATACTTTCGCATCCCCCTCACGTCCGCTGAGGACTCGTGGAGATGTCATAACATGTTAGTATGACTTGCGGCAGAAGATTGATTCGTTGCGGCGCAATAGTAGCCAAGACAAGATCTGGAAGCAATGGTGCTAGTGAGGGGTTTGGCAGGGATATTGGTGTGAACAGCTTACATCAGTTCACCGAAGCAGCACTGGTTGCACGGAGAGATGTCATGTTTCTGCTTGCGACTGCAGACACTTAAGCAGGTGCCATTGTGCCGGCGGGGGTGGGGGGGGTCGGGGGGCGGGTCGGCGCAGGGGCAGACCATGGCATGAGGTAAAGTGCACGGCCTTTGAAAGTCCTCAGGCGAACACTAC